TAGTTTGACTCATTTCATTGTATCTATGTTACAACACAGTACCTCTGTAGACACACGGTCTCACCTGTGTTAGCAGACATGAAGTGGAGTATTTAAGCAAGCCAACAGCCAACAAACAAACAATGACGAAATACGAACCGATGTTGAGGTATGCGAGAGTCTTGACTACGAATCACAAATGGAATGTATGTATTTGTGCCAAGTGATTGCAGTTTGAAAATAAATAGAAGAAAAAAAACTCAATTCATAGTTAAAACCCTGTCAGGGAAGAAAACTTCATGGGTATTAAAGACACATCAAACTGACTTGTACAAATGAGATTGAGATCTCAATAAAACGCTTTGCCCGCAAATATACCCTCGGTCCAATACAAACAAATACACCCAAAGGCGAAGTAGGCAACTGTTTTTTTTTAGAGATTTTACATAAATAGTGGGGGGATAATATAAATAAAGAATCGGGACCGAGGGCAATATTGAATATTTTGTTGTTAAATATTGCTTCTATTGTTTTAATACAATTTAGTACGTTCATGTTAGTATTAATACGAGATCTCGTACTATAGTATTAATACGAGATCTCGTACTATAGTATTAATACGAGATCTCGTACTATAGATATATCTGTGTCATTTTTTAAAATACCAGATTCATGTGTGCATTCTTTGCCATCAATGATCACTGCCGGTGACAGTGTAGACATTTCGAGATGTAACGTTGGGTTAAACTGGTTGCTATGCAACACAACACGTTCAAATATCGTGAGATGTATTTTACACACGTTGTAAGCGTCGCGTGGGACCCATACCGAATGATGTAATGACTGTGATACGTTCATTTATGTATAGGCTTTGGTTGAATTGGGGTCAAGGAACTTTATATTCTTAATTTTAATTTGCATTTACAGCAAACTAATTTACGTGAAGAGTGTTTGTATTAAATTTAATATGAAATATTTAATATGAATTTGGCCACGTGGATATGTACATTGTATTAGAATAATTTTTTGTTTGCATCGGCGAAAATAAATAGTTCACAATTTACACTTTAATAATAAATTAGAGTATAAATCTTTTCCCGATGATGATGTTATTCTCGTCCTCAAAGAACACAATTTACAAATTATCAATAACAAGTTCAAGTTAATGAATGGGTAGTGTATTCGACAAATAATGTCACGTGGTCTGACCAACGAGTATTGATAAAATGGCACCAAGTGACCTTGCGACCTATTTCGGCGTACTTCATATGTTATGCAAGTCATGTCTTGTACGTTGTGTTAAGTTTCAATGTCACTGTGTACATGTGACAGAGTTTCCAACAAAGTCAGCTATATAAAACATAAGGTTATATAACTCAGTAATACACATTTAGATGTTTGATATACCTATTTTTATTAGTGATGTTAGTGAGAGAAGTTATAATATTCGTAAAATATACACCACTTTATCTTCGGGGGTTCAGACTGATCGGGCGATCACGAGAAATCTGAGACCTGCACCGTTTGTATGGGCTATACGATCACTGTGGTCCATTCAACTCACTATCAATACATTGTATGTACACTACGGACGCGTTCAACAATGTTGCTTTAATTACCAGTAGCGTCTGCGTCATTGTACACTACCAACAATGCAGTACGTTGTATGCAGTCTATTTTATTATCATAGTAGAAATTACCATAGGTTTATTTTCTTATGATCTATTGGTCACTTTTAAAATATTATTTATAATTCTTCTATAAGACTCGTAACTAATATTCAGATTGGATACCTGGCGTCAATGAACACTCGTACATGCATAATTAAACTAAATCTATGAAATACTTCAGTTGAAAAAATGACCCCTTTTTTCAAAGGGTTTGAGAGAGTGTAAACATCTCGTCAGTGTGTTTGAAATAGTGGCATACCTGCGTGTCATAGGTCATTTAACATTTGAAAATTTAGTAAATTTAAGTATAAGTCTTGAGACTGAATTTATCAAAACGTGGCAATGATACTACTTGCATCCCGAACTAAAATAACCGATTTTCTAGGAACAATTAAGCAAAAAAGGAGTGCGCGTCTGTAAAAATATAGTAAAAAATCGGCAAAAATGGAACAAAATTGTAAGTAGTCACTTTATCATTTTTGAACACGGGGACACAGAACAGTTTCATTCTCCCTTTGTTAGCTCAGTGGATATACGATGATATTTCGCCCACCCACGTGTAACAGCGTTTGCCCTCGCCAAATAAAACCCATGGCACGTGATTATCGTATAGGCGTGCACACATATCATGCTCGGGCTTTCAATGTTGAGGTTAACCAGTTCTTTGTTATATTATTATTATTCCTAGTATACCATTATCATTTTTTGTAGTTTTTTCTTTCACTTAGTTTTAAGTAAGATATAATTTTCAAGAATGTGTGGTTACATATTTGGGACAATTAAGCAGTTTATTTACATGACTAATGACTTTATATTATAATATCATAATAGTCTATCAATTGAAGTCTGTCAGTTTTCAAATTTAAAATGAATAATTAAGACTTACGTCTTAGCGAAAACATTCAATTTTTCAAATCAATAAAAACTGAAACATCTACTTCCATATTTTGTATCAGAGAAAGAAATTTGTAGCACACAAAATACATAAAGATTACTCCTTATGAAAAGCATCCCAGCGTTTTCAGTTGTCATTTCACTTTCTGTTTAATAGTATAATAATGTCTATAATAAATTTATAATTTGCCAAATGTGTGACACCACGAGACTTTGAGTTAAATTGTGGTATTCATGCAAACAAAAGCCTTGTCAAGCAACACAATGTGTATTGGACCACTTTTTATAAATGTAATTTGTTCACATTTACTCCTAATTAATTATCATATTGTATATTGTGAGGATACAACTTACAAAAGGCCCGTATGAATGACCTCTTACAGGTCACACATCCTGGCACTTTAACTACTTCGGTATTGTTTTTATATAGCAATAGTTTTAACAAATATATCTAAATCATATGTAAAACTGTGTTTGGACTGCATATACAAGTGCCAGCATATGTTTCGAGTAATACATTTCTATTAACAGTGAACTTGATTGGTCCCCAGAAAGTGCCAAAGTGTATGACCTTCGAAGGTCATCCATTGGATATTTTCATTATTTTTTTCGAAAAGGTTACACAAAGATATGTCTATATTTTATTTATTTTAAATTCAATTTAGTTCGAAAGCTAAAGTCATCGAAATTACGTGCGCTCAAAAAGTTTGAACACAGCTGTCGGTCATGTCATATTAGCAGTGCTTAGCTTTTCAAAAAAAAAAGTCCCTGAAACTGAACTTAATCCTCATTGCTTTCTTACTAAAAGCAAACAAGATTCAGAAACCGGGCATTTAGTATATATAAATTCTGACATGATTCAATATGATTGGTCGAGAAGACCTTGGGCAGATGTTATATACAACAGAATTCCTCTGCTGTATTAGTTATTTTGTTGTGTGGGATTATATCGTCAGTGAGCTTAATAGATCTAGTGGACGACTACAAGTGACGGGGATGTTAAGGATTGAGACGAAATTGATAAAAAGAAATAGGCGTTACGGTATGATTTTAAAGACATGTTTGACCTCTGCGTTCATATCAGTGTATTTGGACGACATGCCGTAGGGTGAAAGTAAGATTCTTTTACAATTAAAACACGGAGACCCTACATCAACTACATACACCACAAATAATTTAAAACTAAATGAGTCGAACATTCAGCAAAATTGATAAATATGGTATACGTTGTTTGTCAATATTATACTTTGTTTGCTGGCAACTTTTGAAATATTTACTTTGCCCCTCAAGTTAGAAAATTCACATCAAATGACAAGGTCAGAATACAATGAGTACTAGTAGCGCGGTTTCTCATAAATTACTACTTAACCTGCGACCATTGATAATGGCACACTAACACTTAATGTCGTGCTACGTTGTTGAGTGTAATATTCTATTCCTATTGTCAGTGTTTGCAGTGAACAATGACAGCTCCATGACGATTCGCATGCGACACTGTATTCACACCAGTCGTATGGAACGATAAATGGTTCGATATACTCAATAATTCTAGTGAACGCCAATTACGTGTTGTCAAGAGGTTGTTAAAATTGCAAAAGAGTCACTTGGCTTGTACGGACAATGTAGTTTGATATTACTGTCATGTTTGCATTATGCTGGCATTTTAACACCACACTGCGAAAACGGAAGCAGGCATGGGAATCCACGCCGACTCAAATTTCTTTGTTCCTGCATTACAATTTGTCCACGTATTGTGAATTCATGTGCCAGCAGGTGTGAACTGACTTCTCGCCAACGCTTAAATGGGGAGGGGGGGTGGAATAGTGGGAAGGTTGGGACGCCATACCAGGTGCAGGTCTTGACGGTTTGTTGCGATAACCTAGCAAGGGGTGTCTCACGTGTCTTAATATTAAAGAACATCGAAGCTCAACTGCAGAAACTGACTGTGTCTGACTACATGGGTGCGTGAATGACTTCAGTGTTCCGTTATAAGGTCTTATGGTATTCCTACACTGCAGAAGCGAGCAATCCCCGAAATTCCCCTTTGAGCAACATCACATTACTAACAGCTAAGACGTTATTTTATGCACATTGAGTAATACTACCTGTTGATTTCATATCACTAACAGATAATATACCACCACAAGTGATACTATACGACGACAAGAATGGTTGGAAGAGGAAAAATGTAAAAGAGCGACCGGTTGAAAAGACTTATACATGTAAAGATTTGGCGGCAAACCAACTCATTTTACATTCTTTGAATAATGATCAAATTTTAAATAGATTGAATATATTTATATTGCTGGTACTGTCTGCATTAATCAGTACACGAGTTAGTGCAGAAGGTAAAACAAACGAAGGAAAGAGAAGCATACAGTTCAGTATGTACATGTACACTACATGGTTGTATTGAACGAGATTGGTTGACTATTTGAATAGTTATTGTTAACTTACCTGTCACCTTTAATGGGGTCAGAAACGCAATGAGAAAGCAACAGATACGAAGAAAATATGCTACCATCCTAATACATCCCATTTTCACGTATCGTACGCCTTTTTTTGACCATACACGCACATCACAAGTTTGTGCTCATTTGGAATCAGACATGGGAATCTGAATTCTGAGAAAAGTGTGGTCCACACCCAGTTCGATTTGAGGTCAAATGTCAAGGGCTCGTGGGTAAGTGAGTACAAATAGGGATTACGGGTAACGTGGGGATCTATTGCACGTCGTGTTTTGTCCTATGACGAATTAACGGTTGTGTTAGTTGTAAAAGTGTAATGGACATATTGTATGGACTCTGTCAAATCGCCCGTTCGAAATGACCATCTTACCAGAGATTATAACTAAGTAACTCGAAACAATTTCGATTAGAAAATGCATCTGTCGTGTTTACGACAGAGGCCGAAGCGAGGCATCCACCATGGCTGTCGTGTTGACGACATAGGCCGAGGCGAGGCATTCGCTTTATCTGTCGCGTTGACTACATAGGCCGAGGTAAGACATCCACTATGCCTCTGTGTTGAGGACAGAGGCCGAGGCGAGGCATTCGCTTTATCTGTCGCGTTGACGACATAGGCCGAGGCGAGACATCCACTATGCCTCTGTGTTGACGACATAGGCTGAGGTGACACATCTGCTATGTCTGCCGTGTTGACGGCATAGGCCGGGGCGAGACATCCACTATGCCTCTGTGTTGACGACAGAGGCCGAAGCGCGGCATTCGCTTTATCTGTCGCGTTGACGACATAGGCCGAGGCGAGACATCCGTTTTGACGACAGATACAGAGGAATCGACTTTCTCGCACATTGTAATATTGAATTCAGTCACGTGACTACTAATACTAAGGTTATGTAAGAGGTTATTTATAATAATAATATTAATAATAATGTTTATTCAACCTTTGTATCGGCCGCATGAAAACAGTAATACATATATTTAAATTACATTCATCATTTCTTTTCTATATTGCCATAAATCAGTTACATATTTCCTAATTAAAGCTGATGAGGTATTTCCCACATTTTCATTTATGTTCCATAGTATATCACCAAAAAGGAAATTGAACCTATAATTCAACCCTCCTGAAAGAAAACTATTCATTAGTGATGAAGATTCAACATTGTTTTTCAGTGAGGTATCTAATGCTAAATAAAATTCCTTTCTAATATGATTAGATGACGTACAAATATAAAGAAAGTGGTAAATGTCTTCTTTGCCCTGATTGCAGACTCCACAAATTCCATTTCCCCTGTAATTTTTCCATCCCATTTTGTTACCTTCAAGATCTAAAGAGTTTGACCTAGTTTTAAAGACAAGGGAGATACCATGATGATCATAAGGATCCATTATGTAATTTTCTTTTTTAATGTTTCTTTTAATCCAACAGTAGTGTTTTAATGATTTCATCTTTTTCAAATTTTGTGTAAACATGTTTATTTCATTTTCTTCACTGATTTTGATAAAACTTCTTATCCATTTTGGATTTTGGGGTATTTCATTTCCATAGATATGATCCATGCCATTAGTCACTAGAATGTTTTCTACATATTTAGACCAATTCCAAGCCAGTTTAACTTTGTTTTTATACTGAGTATTCATTTCTTTAAAAACTATTTTAGTCCATCTATTGTTTTTCATTTTCTGAAGTCTATCCAGGTATTGACTAGCCGCAATAAACGGGTTCAAGTGTTGAGATACTGTTGCTGTAATACAATTCGATAGTAGTCGCTGTATTTTGTATTGTCCAATTGATATCTGGCCATTGAACATAATGGGCATACATTCCTGATCATATATCTTACTCGTAACTCGTACAAGGAAACGACTATGGACTAGTAAATGTGATCTTGTGATCTGCGTTTTCTGTTGAGACAATTCAGTTGCACATTATTACAGAATCTTACCGGCAACGAGCACTAAATCCGGATAATTTTCATAAAATAACTTCATTCAGTGATTGGTGTTGCCTAGTTTGGCTATTCTATGTTTGGTGGTACTAGGAGGTCGACTACTGTGAGTCTGGTAGTTCACAAGATGTCAATAACTACAGAGGTATTGGCATTTCTAGCTCTCTTTTTAAGTTGTTCACTATGTTATATATACTGAATAGCCCCGTCATGTTAGAGGCATGTGCTTTAAGCAGATTCGGAAAATTCGGTATGAATCACATCACATGACACGCAGTTCAATATACGTCGTATCCACTGCACCATCATGGACAACGTGACAGTGGCTGTAGCACATGAAAAGCAATGAGCGAGGTAGTAAAACTAGAACTAGACAAGACTGGGCATTTTAGAGGGTTATTCTATTAGTAATATGTTGGGTCTTAGTTTTTTAGTTGAAATAATTGCACCCAGCATGCATCAGTTAAAATAAAGATTTTACACAAATAACATCAAATACCAACTTTTATTAACTCCACAAGGAGCTATTCATGTTACTAATTATTATACCTCATGGCCATGACAGCCAATCAGATTCGCGCATTACAGGTAAACATATTCGGGTACCTTCCTTCCGAATTTACCCGATATACGCAAATAACTTGCCAGGGGAACACGATACGCGGCAATATTTGTGAACTAATTAGTTTGCCAGGTTTGCGTTCACTATTTGACTATCTTATTGGAAAGAAAACTGGGATTTTGTAACGATTTCGCGTGATGTTTAGTCGCACTTGCCGTGCGTTTCGCCAGCGCGCCCAGCTTGCGCTTTGGTCGTTCGATCTGCGATTGCGTAGTTCATCTACCTAAATAAAATTGAGAGTCGTGGACTTTGCCTTGAGACGGCATCGTTTTGTTTGATTTTGTTACGTATTTTGTGTGTTTTGACAGTATATCGACATATTATGTACAGTGTATTCGTTGAAAGAGGATGGTGTTGACATAAACCTATACTTAGTGTGCAGTTGAGTGTTATAGCTGCATGGTGCTGGATGTGTTTCTAAAAATCATTCTTCGCCAGGCTGAAGCTGTTGACTCGGTTGACAATGAGCTCTTCGGATCGCTAAAACTGTATGTCCACCTCTGTCGGAGAGAATCTTTGTATATTGTCCGTCAACGTATTTCTTTGTCATCAACTTTACATTTTTAAATATTTCTTAAAAACCGTCAGCTATATGTGATTCATATTAATTACAATTGTAACTTGGATGATTTTTCCATTTCATGACGTAAAATTAATTTTCTGTAATAAAAGAATAATTTTGTAATTTTTGGTAAAATTGCTCTTTTTGACTTTTTATTGAAGACGACTGCTTGCACAATTTCATATTTTATATGTTGGTAAACATCTGTCAGAATTGTTCATTTTATTAGGTCTTTCGCATTGTCCTCGGGCAACTTCTATTGAAATGTAATAATTTGTTCTCAATTAAGCAAATTAGGTAATTATTTAGTTATGCATAATTTCAACCACAAACTATGTGCGGATTGTCCCCGTGCCCCAAGTTTCATTGAAATGCAATGATTGGTTCATGAGGTAACGATGGAAAGCCAAAAATGAGCTAATTATTATGATAAATGGGTAATTATCGTGCAAAATGTCAACCCAAAACTAATCAGGTCCGTTCATTGAGATCATAAGGAGTAGTTTTCCTACTTTTAAAATGGTTGTTTTTTAATTTGTCACGTTACTTCAATTAGTTCTACAAAATAAACAGAATCAACCACATTTACAACATTTTATTGAAAAGTTACTCAATGTTGTTAGTCCGTCACTTTAAAACAAGTTTGTTTACACTAAAATTTGAACTAAAAATGGAAATATTAAAACACTAGCATGCCATCCTATAAATTGCTAATATATTGATGCACGTTTTCTAGTCTAAACTGATGCATCTTCTCTGGGATATCACAAATACAAACAAATGAACATACCGTAGTATTTTTGCGCATAAGATGATTGGGACGTCACAACCGGACCGTCCGTCAATTTTTCCATGATTCATTACAGACTGAAGACAGTTTATCCTACAAAACGCTCGACAAATTAACTTCGATATGATATCGTTAGCGGAAAGGAGGTTAGAGTGCAAATTGAAATCACTCATAGTGTTGGCGCGAAAACATCATAAATAAGAAGCGTTATTATTTGTGTACGGTTCAGTGACAGTCACGTGACAATTAAAAATATGTCTTTCTGTGTAGTAATTGAGTAAACGAGTGACTAAAATACATTTGTTTATTGGGTCCTAGCGAAGCCATTAGCAAATATTAAATTTATTTTATACCATAGTCTACCTTATATATCTTGCATCATTTGTGTTCTGTGACGTACACATAGACAGGACAATACAAACCAAACAATGAAGAGAACGATTTGAGCACACGATGAATGAACAGAAGACCATAAATGAGCATTATTATAAGATAAAATATATATTACGTAGCTGTTTCACAACCTACTCTTATCATGTATGAATAAACTTTGAACACAGAACAGACGTTTACACTACAAAGTAAATTGCCAGCATACTTCAGTCTGAAGGTGTCATAACAGTTTTTTTACGTGTGAAAATGAATCCCCGACTTTCAAAATATATGATCTAAATGCCTCTCGTTACATCTTAACGTTGAATATCATATATTTGCTGATGACACTGAAAAAAACTGATTTGAGATATTTAACATAACAAAAAAATAAGTGATTTATTGTTTCCTGTGTCGATGATGAGTTAGTAGGCTCAACTAAGCTTTGTTAGATGTGCATTCAACTGTTGAATAGTTTGTTTGCTAGTGACTGAGTTATAGGTATAAACTACGTGTGAAAATGATAGATGAATCGCAGCGTGTGTACGTGCTCGACGTATTCCCGGGGGCTACTTGCATAGAAGTGCAATACGGGTATGTGCCGCCCGACTGGGATGTCATTTCACGTTATTTTGTTTAGAAGTGGGTGGTCATTTATCAATGGTTTGGTTTGGAACGTTGCCGTCAATAAACAATATGAACTGTTTTAAATGATCGTGGTTTTATTGCCACACGTCTGGTTTAGCGGAGACATGGGCGAAAAAAGGGGTTGATGTAAATTTATTTAATAGTTATATATTTTCAAGTCACCTGCTACCAGAAAAATCAAAAACAAATCTCCAGTAAAAGTTGGTCAACGTATTGATATCGTGGCGAAACGTACAGTGATTCTTTACACAAAACTATATTTCATTTTCCAAAAGACGTACTGCTGGTAGTCGCTTATGTACCCCCCGGGAAGGTTATTCATGCAAAAGAACGGAATTCAATTGTTTGAGCAACCTCCTAATCGATACACTCAGTAAATTTAACAAGGATACAATTAGTATGATAATGAATGCCAGAACTGGATCAGTTTAAAATAGGATACAGTGGTTGTAAATATGGCGTTGTCCTATATTATGAATCAAATAATTTCTAGCTACCGCGATTGACTTTAGACTAAGTCATAAATAAATTTGGTCTATCTCTGATTAGTACGTGCAAGGATTTGTCATTATAAATGTTCAAAGGCAGACGTGAAGACTAGGGTAGAGGAGAGTTTACCCGCATTGCCAATTATTGCCGTAGTACTGCGGACTGTGTATTAATTACTCGGGATCTATTTGCTATCTTAAATCGTTCATTATTTCAATTAGAGTTAAATCATACCATTTTCCACTATGCTGTGACTTTACTGTAAATGAACTACTAAGAAACAAATTTAAGGCATCCCAACACAAACATTTAGATGGAGATGCAAATGAAGTCAATTAACTTGAAACCAATGAAATGATACAAAGAATGTGGAATTTAGATGAAGCGGGTGAATTAAAAATTGAGGCAACAGTGTTGAAGGTGACACATATGTTAAAAAACTGTAGGGAATGTTATATAGGAAAACAAACAACAAGATAAAATGGAAATAAATAAAACAAAAGTAGTAGTATATAGAAATGGATGATACCTAAGCAAATATGAGTGTTTGTACATGGGAGAAATTAACAATTTAACCGGATATGAGTATCTTGTGTAAGGATTCTTTATCTGTTACTACAAAACATTCAACCATTAATGGTAGAAAGAAATGACTACTTTAGGGAAATGTGTAGAAAATTCTCGTAAACTAATGTGTACTTCAAGTTATTTGACATCCTAATTTCACCAGTGATCTGTTATGGTTACGAAATCGAAACAGTGCACCTTGCATACTGTAAGGTATTTATGTTTACCAAGTAGTGCTGTCAGGCTCAATTCTAGGGGACTGCAGGTGATTGCCAACATACTGTTACCATGTGACACGTTGCATTGAGTATTGACTCCACCTTCTTGAAATGCCGGATCATAGAACAAATCTATAAAATGTTGTATAATATGGACGAACGCTGAAATTAAAAATGCACTGTTGTATTATTTGTAATTATGAAAATAATTTAAGGGTATATAGGGAATGCATTTCGTTATGAATTATTCTTCATATATTTCTTAACTCGTCAAAAACAGTTTATTCAGCGTTTTTTTCTCCTAAAAAGCGAAAGAAATTCACAAAACCGAAAGTCTTTATCGTAGTGTTGAAGAGCTAGGTTCAGAAGTTCTTTTCATCTTCTCGAAATAGAAACTGATAAATATCAAAGAATTAACAGGAAGATGAGATTCATGCCACAGATATATTGGTGATGAGTACAATTTCTTACTTAAATGGGACTGTCTGAGAAAACGATATCCACGTAAAGAACTGTGTGCAAACCCGTCTTTTCATAAATTAAACCAATTATTGGCTTCAAAAACATTGAAGTCTCGCATATTAACTAAAAAGAGAGAGAAAGTGTAAAGTATTTTGTTATCGTGTCCACTGTATTATATATAATCATCATCGTGAATAACTATTCTACAATACTTTAAAATGATGCAGCGCCCTCAATGTCTATCGTACACAGGCTTTTCGGATATGGATGCTCCACGAACACATCAGAACGATTATTGTGCAAAAAAAAGATTTCTATGATAAACTGAAATGAGAAATAGCATTTCTTTTTGTAAACTTCCACTGGTATAACATCGCCCAACACATTACGTACAATGCAGCTGTTAGTTGCGTAACTGGAAGCTATCATCCTTACCCTTCGATTTAAAGACTATAAAGTGGTATCTGCGTTTGTCACCTGTTGCCAGGGTGACATTCTGTTATGCAATGGGAAACGTTTTGGTGGGGAAAATGGTAATAAGAATAATGATAAATCATTGGGAGTATCTAACACTGTGACAGCTAGTGGTGTGATAATTATTGAGATGCTGTGCTCATTGTAATAAAATCGACATCCTTACGACCGATGTCATCGTCAAGCTTTGTACTGATTACTTCGTGGACGAAGAGGTTGAATCGTCCAAGAAAATCTTGTTCAAGGTATGCGGAAATGACCAAATAAACGATCTAACAATATTTTAGATGTAGTAAAGTTGGTCCATGAGACGGATTTCGAGGATCTCCCTAGTTTTGTTGCGAAATTCTTATCGAAATTACCACCAATCGACATAACGCATGTAGATATCTCGGCAGTTATGAAGGAAATAACAGCCCTAAGGCGGAACTGAAAGACCATAGAATGTACGGCTTCTAGAACTGTGCCAAACTGTGCCATTAAAGTTGTTCATTACAATCCACCATTTAGGGTGTTTATTACCAGGCTTTCACCTTTGACTTCAACGGAAGATATTCAAAGCTTTGTACTCGTCATTTCTTATTGAAACTACATGAGAGGTCTCTGAGATTATGGACCCCACTGTGTGGCCAACTGGAATTCTTATTCGCAAGTATTACTAATAACAATGTCTGTACAAATAGTTTCATTCAACTGTCGTGGAGCAAAATCCTCTATTAACAACATTCACGCACTCTGTTACTCTCGTGACATGGTTTTAATTCAAGAGCACTGGCTTATAGTAACTCTGAATTAACACTTCTGGGGAATATACATAATGGCTTTAATGCATGTGGAGTTTCGGCAAAAAATTAAGAGACGGGAATCCGCGTGGGACGGCCGTACGGAGGGGTAGCCATATTGTGGCGCGAGTCTCTTGGCAATAAAGTTAAAATTAGATATTTAAACCGCGGTAGTCGTCGCGCTGCGCATGTTCGACATCTGTGTTGATAAACATTGATTTTCCCACAATCCAATGCGTTCTTCAAATGGAAATGACAATTATGAGGTTTGACCTGGGCGCGACTTGCACTGATTACCGGCGGTGACTCCTTCGATACCTTCCAATCACATAAAAAATGCCTAATTAAAGCTTGGAAACGTCTCAGTTCGTACTCGTTGATCTGCGCAACAGTCAAAGTCGCCATCTTTGTTTATATGAGACCCATATATTTCGCACATGCGCAGCGGGACGACTACCGCGCTTTAAATGATAACAGACTTATTGGTGTGTAGCTGTGTACTCAACATAATCATATACTCATATTGTGTGCATATTTGCCCACTTGTTCAGATGATAATGTTGATGATTTTCTAAGCTATTTGGCTAAAATATATTGTATTGTTCAAGATTGCAACGATACGAATGCTATTATTCTAGGTGATTTTAATGCAAATCTAGGATCGCTATTTGGGAGCGCACTTGAACATTTTGGCACAGGAAATAATATATATGTTTCGAGTGTATGTTTTCTTGGTCGTTCCACTAGAAACTTTACATATTCCAGCGAAGCTCACGGTAGTACTGTGTGGTTAGATCACTGCCTTAGTACACCCTCTGCTCACAATGCAATTAAGCAAATACTTATTATGAATGATTTTATGTCGTCGGATCACTATCCTCTTGGCGTTGAGATAGAGTGTGCGGGTCTGAATCAATTTGAATTCCAGCATCGATTTGGAAGTTACCAGAGAATTATGTCGAAATAGTCTAATGTGACCCAACATCAAGTTAGAAGGTACCAATCCAGGACTGCTCAGCTTCCGTCTTTTGAGTATGTTCCACTATTCACAATTCTGCGAATTTTTAACAGCCAAGACTGTTTGCATAATAAAAAGCAAAAAAAAAAAAAAAAACACTCCCAAGTGCCCACGAACCTACATCTATACCTTAATACACCAAATAACGCACTGAGTTGTTGTAAACATTCGCACTTGAACTGTTAATTACAGTATTTTAATGTGAATGCACCCTCTAGGTAAGCAAAATAATTAGACGATATTTTTCAACACTTTCTTAAAAAGTTGAACGACGTTAGCTGCTTCCAAACTATCAAGAGGAATACCAATAATGAGTGATTTATTAAACAGAGCATGAGTTCAGTTCAAATGCAAATTCCCACAAAACGTACATAGTCGGCAGATAATACAATACCACCTAGATGTTCGTCTTAATAATATACTAGTATATCAACCTCAACTCTATACAACTCCATAATGCCAAAACACGTATGTCTTTATTTTGACCTGCAATACAAGGTCACACTATATATTGAAGAGACAGTGGATATGATGTCATACGATACCCACAATTCTTAGCCGGAAAATCTAAATGGTGAAAAATGAATATCTAGAAACTGAGAAAAAAGAAACTGTAAATTGCATTCATCTACTTTCATCTGGTGTCATTACGCTGGTTTCCCGGACTTTTCCTTTAAAAAACTATTTCTTTTCATCATCTGCGCCAATGGCGATCAGAATGAGACAGGGTTTCAAACGAAGTCACACGAAGTTGTTCGTATTGGTGGCGCTTTGATTTTCCTTCGTTAAGGTCAGCTGGTGGCGATAAACAGTATGGCATGTAATAAGGTTTTAAGTGTTTTCCGACAAGGATTATTCACCAACCAAGTTGCCATAGTTACAGGTGGTGGAACTGGTATTGGCAAAGCAATTACGAGGGAATTGTTGCATTTAGGTGAGTATTTCAGCATGGTGATTGTCATTTGTGATGAACCCCCGGAGATGGACCATATCCCTGCGTTTGGCACGTCTGTTATTGAGGCTTCCCCGGTGGTCATCGAAAGCGACAGGGAAATCAATATTGAACTAAGGACTCTTGGAACGCAGGCGTTGGGGAACTCGAAGTGATTTTATATTGATTTTATTGGTCCCATACATTGGGGTGGGACGAGGTGAGTGCTGTTAAGAAGTAAAGGTACTAGTATTCTATTAACTTTTATGATTTGACAAAAGTCCTAAACTGAATTGGATAGCTATTAACATAACATAAAACGGAACTAAAACAATCTACCCATTCACGTGATCAATTCAGCCATTTTGCCAGAATACTAGTACTGTACACTGAACTTGGGTGAGGGCGCTGTTCTCAAACAAAATATAAACATTGAATTATTAAAATAAAGACGCAAAATGAATAAGTAGTAAATAACAAGTAAATAAAAACTCGCAATGAATAATAAAACAATGAACAACTAATAAATAAATAAATAAATAAATAAATAAATAACGACGCATACATTCTGTTTCATGAAAATTTATAAAATATTTACTCCATAAAATTCGTACAATGATTTCAAATTACTTTTGTGTGTTTTAGGAGTTTGTGTATTTGTTCATACATGATAAGAGAAGATTGTATAAAAAGTTACATAATAGATACGTAGCTTTATTATGGATATAGTTGAGATCATACGTAGGGATTTATTTCATTTTTGTTTATTGTCTAATTTTCTTGATAATGAAATAAAAATAGTAACATTTTTCTTTTTAATTAATCACTGTACTTCTATCAAATTCATTGTAAATGTTTTATTTCTATAGATAATATGACTTTACAAAATATTTAGTTGTCAGTTGTTACTAAATAGCGTAGAAACCCAACAAAAAATAAGCATATCAACACTGCCTCTATCCTATATTGTTGATTTACTGCCATACACATGAAAGATATTCTATATGGGCTGTATGCAGCATTGTGATTACTCAAGTTGTTTTCATCTGAATTTTATAAAACCTTTATTAATATTTGATATAATAATAATAATAAAAAATATAATTGAATAAAATTAGTAAATAAATACATGTAATAGAATTTAAACTTATTAATGCTTACTGAATGAACACATGCAGAAAGCAGTACCTTAGTTTACACATTCAAAACAATTTGTAAAATCTGATCATCAGCTTTCATTCAAATTCAAATATTGATTGGCTCAAAAGCTTCACATTTGCTACGTTCACACGACAGCATTTTATCGGAGCCCAATGGCTCGAGCCGGCTCGAGCCAGCAAAAATGGTCGTGTAAACGTGTTCAACTCGAGCCAAGTTCGGCTCCACTAAACCCTCGGGGTTGAACTTCGATAGGGTTGAGTCCCGACATGGCTCCGATCCTGTAAACGCATCGGGCCCAACTATCGGAGCCGAAATCATGCCTTCAATCGTCTTCTTCGAGTAACCTCTCATTTCAATTATGGCGGAGACAACATCTTTCATAATTTCACGCAATTTCCGGCTTGAATAAGAGGTACGCGGCCTAATATATAGTAACGAATTATTGCGATAGATTGATAGCTCAACAGGAAACAAAAAATGGCGTACGAAATTATGCTACAAAAACTTGAAAGAACGACTGAACGGAAACTTTTTAAAGACACTAAAGATAAAAATCGTAGAAGCGATTGCGGTACGGTGACGTGTTCCTGGTAGGTTTAGATTCTTCCATAGTTTCTCTATGATAGATAGAGAGAATCTGTGATTCTTCCTAGTAGTTTAGATATCACTACAGTTGAATAGTTACAAAATGGTAATTTTGCATGACAATAAGTTGAGCGAATAGGCTGTATTAAATGCATTTTAGCTGCCGTGTTTCCTGTTTATTCGAGATACTAGTACCTAAATCATAATACCAGTCATTGTCTTTTCTACCTCCATGCTCAGGCTCTTTTTTTTTCCTAGCTCAACAGCATCATGCCATGTAAAGAAAAAAACACAAGCACGACACTAAAATCATTTTCAGTTACTAATTATTCAAGGGCACTGTTCCGTTTGACTCTGATCGAACTGAATTGAACTCTGGCAGATCTCGGCTCTCGGTCGGCTCCCGACCGTATGAACGCATTGGAGATAATCTCCTGTTAATCCGTGGGAGGAGAAGTAGTTCGGCTCCGATAGAATGCAGCCGTGTGAACATAGCAATTGTCTACACCCATAATGCACTGCAAGCCTGACAAACCAGCTGCAACCATCCATGAATATAAAATCAAAGAAAGCTTAGAAAGAGCTCCCGTGTGCTGAGAGTATTGAAGACACATTAAATCAAAGAAAGCTCAGAAAGAGCTCCCGTGTGCTGAGAGTATTGAAGACACATTGAAAACTAATTCAAAATTATTTGTACATGAGATATTGATGGAATAGCTGAAAACTCATTATGTAAATCAGGTAACTGATATGAGCAGATTTGAGTGTAAAACTAATAAGGCCTGCGTAATGTAAAATCTATGTACCAAGTTTCATTGAAATGTGATTAGAACAAAAAAACTATGAATTATTATTAGAGAATTAATATGAACAAATTTCAACCCAAAATTAATCGGGCCTGTCTATTGTTATAGAGCATTTATGTACCAAATTTTATTCAAATGTGATGATCAGTAATTGAGATATCAGTGTTAATTAATTATTTTAATTAGGTGATAAGTAAGCATAAACATTTACCAAAAACAAATTGGGTCTCTGCATAGTCCTAGAAGATCTATGTAGCAAGTCTCATTGAAATATGATGATTAGTACCGGTACTTGAGATATCAGGCAAAAAGCTGAAAATTAACTAATTATGTTAATAAGTTAATTAATATGCACAGATTTGAGTGTAAAATTAATAAGGTCTGCATAATGTAATATCTATGTACCAAGTATCATTGAAATATGATTAGTACAAAAAAACTATGAATTATTATTAGAGAATTAATATGAACAAATTTCAACCCAAAATTAATCGAGCCTGTCTATTGTTCTAGAGCATTTATGTACCAAATTTTATTGAAATGTGATGATCAGTAATTGAGATATCAGTGTTAATTATTTCAATTAGGTGATTAATAAGCATAAATATTTACCAAAAACTAATTGGGTCTCTGCATAGTCCTAGGTTCATTGAAATGTGATGATGAATACTCTATGAAAGTTTCATTAAAATTAGTGGTTCTTTATATATCAGTGGAACATTCATGGAAAAAATTAACTAATTATGCGAATTAAGTAATTAATATCCACAATTATTTACCCTAAACCTAATCAGGTCTCTGCATAGTCCTAGAGGATCTATGTAGCAAGTCTCATTGAAATATGATGATCAGTACTTGAGTTATCAGGCGAAAAGCTGAAAATTAACAAATTATGCTAATAAGGTGATTAATATGCACAAATATTTACCCCAAAACTAATTAGGTCTCTGCACAGTCCTTAAGTAACTATGTACCAAGTTTCATTGAAATGTGATGATTACTACTTGAAATATCAAAAGCTGAAAAATTAATTAATTATGCAAATTAGGTAATTAATATGTACTGATATTACCCTAAAAACTATCAGGTCTGTGCAGTGTCCTATGATATCTATGTACCAAGTTTTATTGAAATGTGATGATTAATACTTGAGATATCAGTGGAAAATCCAAAAATGTATCAATCATTATGCAAATTAGGTAATTAATATTGCACAGAGCATTTATGCATCAAGTTTCATCAAAAATCAATGTATGGTTCTTGAGATATCAGTGGAACAGACACACACACAGACAGACACACTAACTGCAAAGACTCCATTTTTTGTGCTTCACACACAGGAGTCAATGAGCCCGTTTGCTGTTTTAATAATGTTGAACTAACTCAGAAACATTGATAATGAACCCAGGTTTCTGCCATTCACTGTATAATGAATAAAATCTGATAAATAACTGATATTTGCTCTAATTGTAATGTACAGAGGTATTTGCATGGTCAAATTACGTCATTATTCAATGATTTTAAAAACAATGAATGCAATATCTGTTTTATATTTACTTCTAATAAAGAAAATTGGGTAAAACATTAAATAAATAATAAACAAATTCATATATAATGAATACTGTAAAATAATTTATTTTAGCTGGAATTTATTTTCTCTGAAGACTTTTTGGGTGTTTTGTATGGAATTTATTTTCACTGATTTTTGATGAGTTGAATGTAAAATGTAGTATATTCACTGTTTTTTTTATTTTCACTGAATCATTCCTTCAGTGAAAATAGCGAAAATAAAGTATTTTACAGTACTAGTATATTGCAGGATTGGAAATTCTTTTAGTCCTACATAAGTCTCAGATTTTCAAAACACACAAATTTGTATCTCATAATATTATAGGGGTTCATGGTGTATATTTATTTCTTGAAACAGGATGTAAAGTTGTGATAGCCTCTAGAAAAGTTGAAAGGTTAAACCAGTCAGCTGATGAAATGAGACAAGAACTTGATAAAGACAGTCCTGCTGAACTGTTACCTGTCCAATGTAATATAAAACAACAAGAAGAGGTGAGAGCAGTAGTCACATTTGGGAGGGGAATTGAGAACATTCTGCAATTACTTTATTCTCAACTGCATGGTGATAATTTATTCAAATCTTTCCCAGTCTTTTGGTAATTGTGCAAACGTTTTGTTCCCGTTCGGATGCAGTCTGAAAACAGGGAGTTATAAATTGACTTCTGTGCGTCCATGTGTCTGTCTATATCATTTGACATGCCTGGACTGTGGACCGATTACATTCAAACTTCACACATACATCATACAGAATATTATACATATGCACATCAATTCAATCAATCACTCAAGATGGCCGAATAGCGGTCATTTTTGTACTGACAAATCATTAAAATCAAGCATTTCCCGGCTGTTTATAGATGGATTTTGTTCAAACTTGGTACATACATTAGATATTATGGGACCTTGATGCATGTCATTTTATTTTTCAGATCGGATATAATATGGCTGACTGGTGGCCATTTTAATGAATGTGGTTCTAGAGCCATACTCTGACATGCTTTGACTGATTCTGTTAAAATTTTTATATATTCATTATACATCAGAGAAGTATAGATGTATTCAAAATGGCCGACTGGTGGCCATTTTGTTTTAATTATTGCTGTTCCATATGGACAAGTACTTGTTTGATAATCAGATACAAAATGACTTTATGATAATCATAATCAAGCATCAGCTTCTACGTCCATGTTTATGATCCAATTATATTACTATAAACAACTATATTACTATATCTTAAATTTGTTAACTAACAGGGTCTAGCTGTGTTATGCATGGCTTATTTTTTTTATTTTGGTTTTCACAATAGATAGCGCTGATTTTTCATATCTTAAATGTGATTTTACCTTTAGTTTGAATTGTGATACCAATTTTAAAAACTAAAAACATGTTTTCATTTTATAGTGGTATGTTGTACTTATATGTGTCATTTTAGGTCAAATTATTAGTTTCATCTACTATGGAAAAGTTTGGGAAAATAAATTACCTTATCAACAATGGTGGGGGTCAGTTCTACTGTCCTGTGGCTAAAATGAGTCTTAAAGGCTGGAATGTGGTTGTAGATACGAACCTTACGGGAACATTTCAAGTCACACAACAAGGTAAAAGTTTCAATTATTGTTCTGCATCTTATATATACTGTACATGATTATTTATATAATTTTATTACACTTCAGTACATCTGAATATATCATTTGTTCATTCGTTGTTAGTTTACAATGCATATATGAAAGAGCATGGTGGGAGTATTGTAAATATCGTACTAGACAACGGCAATGGAATGCCAGGAATGGGGTAAGTTAAGATACACCATGGAATGAGGTAAAAGCTGAGCTCGTGAATAATTGTGACATCTCAAATGTTGACTTTATTCAATTGTTTTCATTATAATGACACAATAAAAAGTAAAAGTAGCTGAGAGTGGCATGATATTTCCATATTTAACTATGTCAATATATAATAAAATAAATTGTAATTTTGTGTTTTCATGCATCCTTTCTCATTGCTAATTAGGATTCTATGAAATAAAATCTGAAAAGTGACAAATGTGAATAAGAAGTTTACTTCAGTGATGGTGGGACATGGTTATAATTAATAAGAGAGAGAGAGAGAGAGAGAGAGAGAGAGAGAGAGCGTGCTTTTCATATGCAAGCCGTGGTTAAGCCAATATATACCATGTTTGGCCATGTTGAAAAGTAGGCACCAAACATGAATAGCGCACACTTGTTAAATCCGTCTGTCAACTGAAATCGGTAAAAATAATATTTTGTGCTACGAACATAAATAAAGAACATTCGAGTATTATGAATTCAGAAGAGAAGCATGAAAAAATCATTGCCCTGAATTACACAAACAATACCAAACAATGATTGCCATCTGCAGTGTTGATATTCAAAATGCAATAGGGCTTACTCAGTGTTAATTAGCAATGTTAATTGAGACAACTTTACATAGTAATTTTTGCAAAATTTGTATGTTTTATATACGTGTTTTAGCAGTTGGTGTAACTATTTTAATGTTTCAATAAACTACATATATCAATGTTTTTGCTAACAAGAAACAACACAAATAAACCTTGCAATGACAAAATACAGGCAAATTCACATCACTACTCAATGTATCTATAATTGATTTATGCTAGTTCCAGGGCCCATTTTAACCACAGTTGCAAGTAGAATGTTTCAGATACTGTACCACTATTGAATGTGATTTTTGATGTTTTGAAGTTATTATTTACAGTTCTATAATTGTTTGATATTTTCACAGACACAGTGGTGCTGCTAGAGCTGGTATTGAAAATCTGTCAAAAACACTAGCCTTAGAATGGGCTAAAGATGGTATCAGAGTAAACAATGTTGCACCGGTAAATTTAACATTCATTTTTTGAAAGAATGGAAGTAGCTACATGTAACTAGTTACAATTGTGGAAATTTTAAACGAATTTCATTAAAAGTGTCTATCAAAAGCAAATACAAATTGGTGAGAGGGGGTATCCAAACTTGTTTTCATGTAAACAATTACTTTACGATTTCTCCTGTAAAACCCTAGTCTTTGGGCCATTCGGGATTGGAAAATGCCAGCAACTAATTTAAAAACAATCAAGTTAAAAACAAATTTCAGAAAATTTCTGTTCATTTCCTTTCAATGCTTCTTGTTCATTCATCATAAGCTGCTAAAAAGTTGTTTGTAATTCATTTCCGTGTCTATTACTGTTTCTGACCTATGCTGTTATCTTAACAGGGAACCATGTACTCAGATACAGCAGCTGCCAATTATGGTGAATTTAACATATTTGCAGAAACCATTCCTTATATCCCGGCAAAAAGATTAGGCACAGTGGAAGAGGTAAGTATAATTTATCTACGAAATAGAAGGAAGAAATTAAAAGCATTAATACATCATTGTCATAGGTCATTACAGATTGTACGCTTTGCATACAAATATACACAGTTACTGTTTGCTATTAATATTGTGTGTGAATGACAAGTTCTTGTTATTGCAGTTATTAAATATACATGTACTATTGGTAATGAGGCAAAACAACTACTCGGCCCTTTCTGGATGGGTGACATTTTTTGAGATATGTCCTTGCCACAGAAACAATGGTAAAATGCACTATAACAGACAAAATGTTATTTTCACTGTATTTTATTGATCTATTTTCTCTGAACAGAGTACGGTGACCCAATGTTTTTATTTTCCTAATCATTCTAACATGTAAAAATAAAGAAAATTATAATACTGATAGTAGTACTCACGCACAGGCTAAGTGGTCTCGTACCTTAACTCGTTTTAAGAAAACGTGCTTGAATGCTTAGCACAGGCTAAGAAACCCCAAGTATAAATTAAATCTTGCTCGTTTTCAAGACTCGGTCCAGGTTCAAACTAAGTGCCAAAAAAGCTATTGTATTCAATGTCCATTTGGAAGATTTACTATTATATTTATAACTATTCATTTTGGTATGTCATTTCCGGAATGGCAATCAACGCTATCACATGAAGAGATATTGTTCTCAAGAAAAATTAACTGACGATGAAACTCAGTGTTACAATCTGCACATTCTGAATTTGCTTTCTGTTTTATAACCTATGAACTAACATGTACTGAATAATCATAGCTTAAATGACTGAACACTGATATGTGTTAACAAGTTTGGGCATTCTTTAGCCCGTGCTAGCCACTGTTTCCTCCTGTGAGTGACTGCAATTGGGTCTATCCGATATGCAAACATATGAGATTAACTTAAATCTTAGTAGTATTCACACTACACAAAGTACAGGCTATTATTTTTACTTTGGAGTGGGATTATAGCTTATGTTAAAAATCTGTTTATCATCTGGACACATTCTGTCACACTGTCTTTATTTGAAGTGTTTTACAAGCTAAACAACATTCTAACTAACATTAGTTCTATTTTAGTAACACCATGGAACTATAAACCCCAGGAAGAACAACGTAACTAAGAGGATTAAAAAAACCTTTGTCTTAGTTTATCTTACAGTGCTTTCGCTTTTGTTTCCACAACATTAGTCATACTCCATGTTAGTTGCCGCCGATACGCCTGTATCAACCGCTTTGCTGGAAACGGAAAACTTGAAAAAAAAATTTCATATCTGCGCAGTAAAATATTTCGTTCACTACGCATGCGCAAACAAGTCGGTCTGCAGGGTGACCTTCAGTGTACCGGAAATCATGCAACGGGTCGGAGTTTTAGCGAGTTTTCATAATTTTCAATGTCGTTTTTAGATTACTTCTTGTTTTTTTCAACCCTCGAAAAAATAAGGTTGCGAAAGTTTGCGAAACATGGGGTTTGGTATGCTGTTTGTTGTCGAGATATCCCGACTTATCCCGTGTTTCTCTTCGATCGCCAGAAGTGGCAATGTGTTTTTTTTTTCCATTTATCAGTGTTTTTGTCTTGGCGCCATTGTTTTTTTAGGCTATAACCGAAACAACTCGATCACGTGATCTCCCGAAGTCGCCCGATTGACTCCGAAAATGACCGATAGTCGGAGATAAACGTTCATTTGCGTAAATCGGCTTATTTTTTAATGCGACGAAATAAACAGTCAAAATAAACATTCGACATCGCGGCAACTATCATAGTTCAAAGGAAACGAAGTGGTTGTTCTTCCTGGGGTTTATAGTTCCATGGTAACACTTACAAATGATATTCTTATTTTAGGTTTCAGCTGCCGTTAGTTTTCTGTTGTCTCCAGCTGCAGCTTTCATCACCGGTACAACAATAGCCGTATCTGGTGGCTCTCATTTATATAAAAACCAGTGTTTTGAAATACCAGGTATGGATAGATATCATTAATATTTATGATAAAGATACTGAATGAACATCTTAAAGTGGGAGAGGAGTCATCACCTTCACATTTGGTTGACATCCATAGCATATCGTTGTTTACAAACAATCATCTACCCATGAGCCTTTAGGTTTTTAGCGTACATTATCGCTGCATAGGACTCAATCCCCACATGTGCACAGGTGACGACCCCCCCCCCCCCTTTAAAGTTGATCAACCAGTATCGTATGTTGTATTCAATGCAACTTTACTAACAGTGATTCATTTTGATCAAAAACAAGCATTTATTTCTCACTGTTGTCATCTATCGGTAAAGTTTACAGCAAGTATTGGGCATGCAATTTGTAAACTCCCTGGTGAATTGGCTAACTGCTTTGGTTTTGACTGAACACTACAATTGAGGCAGTTTTTCAAAAATCTGGGAACAATCCTGACCAAAAATGGACAAGAACAATTACATAACAAAATAATTAATATTTATGTTCTTCAAATAATAGATGTTCTGTATTAATTTTGTCTCTTACAGATTAATATAATATGAATTGTATAAAAGTTACCAAATAATAGTGCAGTAATATATATATGCAAAATAAAATACTAGCCAGATTTGAAAAAGGTGGCAAAACACTACACTTATCTAATTGACAGACCTTGGAAAGCATATACCATCTGGTTTACATTAGTACAAATGTTTTCATATTGGCCACTTATTTCTAGTCTAAAAAATAATTTATTCCAGCCAAATTTATATTTTGAAAATTGAACTTGGTAGTTACACCAAAATTGGGCATTTCATAGCGATTGAAGATGAGATAAAAACTGTTTTAACTACGAGGACGAACATTTCCCCCGCATATACCTTCAGCTATGATATGGACAAGGTCAACTGTGTTATGCAAATTACTAATATATTGTTTTCTCTTTCAACAGATCATGACAAGATGCCTGCCTATACATGGGGCAAATCAGAAAAACGACTTTTGAAGGATGCTGTGACTGGCAAATTGTCACCTGTGTGGGATTAGAAACTATTTGAGTTGTTAGATACACTTAATAATAGATAAAAACATCCATCGAAATCTTTGTGTTAAAACAAATCCGGAATCTGTTGTATGACTATTTTGAAATAAAAGAAATCTCTTTGTCTGAGATATTAGTTATGCATATTAAATTTATACAAGGTGGGTATTTAATATAGCATACATGGGATTTCTATCTATCTACCAATTTTCATAGTAGTAAACATTTATTAGCAATATGACTTGCAAAAACTGTTGTTGTACTGTATTCATTATGCAAAATTATGATTCCATCACAATATAAATATATGAAGTGAATTGAGTATACAAATTCTTGCAGTTATTTTATGTTATGTGAAGATAGGAGCTGCAATACATACTAGATAACCCTATTTACACATGCTGACAAATGAAGGAATAGATCACTTTTTAAAATATTCTTCAAAACTTTGATTTGTAAATACATCTTGGTGGTTTATATTTACTGGTAACTAACCTATTAATGCCTTGTTCACTTTCCATTGTGTCACCATTCAAAGGACATTGAATGTTTCACACGTGTTTCATTTCAGGATCAAACTCTGGGAAATCTGGTTCAAGACCAGACCACTGATTCTGAGCTAAACCTAACCAGGGTTGTGAAGAATTATTTAATCTACTGTAAAATACTTTATTTTCCCTTGAAATTAATTCTCACTATTTTCACTGAAGGAATGGTTCAGTGAAAATAAAACCCAGCGAATATACCTTTTTTTTCTATATTTTACATTCAACATTCAAATAAATTCCATACAAAACACCCAAAAAGTCAATTAATTCCAGCATGTGTGTACTTTATGGGCTGTATACCTGAAATAAAGAAATAATAATAAAGTATGCTACAGTATATATATATCTCTATTTCGTATTGTGGCCATTGGCCTTATTTACAGATACAAATAAATATATAATAAATTAGATTGGAATGGTCGCAGAAACAAGTAAAGAAAAACGAATATAAAATCATAATACATAACATTTGCATAATTAAGTGTTCTCTCCCAGCATAAGTTGTCGTACTTGAAAACAATAAAATATAAATTTACCAAGGTTTAATTGTATATATGGGGTTTGATTCTGAAATAATTAAATAAACTTT